CTAATTTGTTTTGTTCAACTCCATATTAGTAAATGATACAACATTCTTAGTTTCTCTTCAACAGTATGTAATACCGTCATAAACTTCAAGCACCACACCACTATAATCTATATAGAGATACTCTCTCCTAACATAAATTATTGGTGGACACACGACCGCTTCACTAATTTTAGGCAATGATTTTCATCCATGAAAGTGACATATTTGGTCGTCATTGACTATAACATCAACAATCTCCATTCGTTGAGAAAGATCCTTTAGGATACGGTCTTCACAACCTTTGAAAATCTCTGTCCATCTAGAAGTTCTTGTCGGATGACCTTCCATAACTGACATGCATGATGTTGATGATAATGGTAATGGTGTTGAGAGTGAAATTCATATTAAAAATTAACTCGATTGTGTTTATACAAGTTTTGTGATTGAATTATATGGAAGGCTTGAAAGCAGTTCTAAAAAAAAAAAAAAAAAAGAATTCCAATGAGAAAACAGATATATAATTAAATGTTACATGACACATTGTCTAATGTAATTAAGTAGGGAATATAATAATTTTATTTTACTTTTACGGTCTAAAGTTTTTATTGTCACGATCACATAAAATCATTTGTTCGTAAAAGTAACTTACTTAACTGTTGAATTCAGTCCAGTATACATACTAAACTAGCTAATAGCTCAAGTTCTCGAGTTGAATGCCGAATCACTTGTAATCATGTATGACCTCAAAAGAAAGGTTGTAGTACGATTTTAAACTTTTCAGTAGTATCCATGCATGGCAAGCTGATCAGACAAATCCAGCTATTATCCCGATTAATACGAGGTCGATCTTATTAAGTGCGTTTCACTACCTGATGCGTTTTGATTTAGAAGCAGGCATCATTTGATGCATTGAGTTGTTGGAATTGTTAGAGTTGGTTTAGCAGTTTATTAGTGGTTTAGTAGTCTATAAATAGCCTCTGTGCCATCCGTTGTATTTTGGTTAACATCAATACAGAAATGCTCCATCTTTTTTCATGTGTCTTGTTTCTGCTGCTAGATCTAAACGCCTTGAAGTCCTAATGCGGCCGAAAGAAGGCAAAAAGGATAACTGGATAAGTACGTATCACTGAAAATGGCCAGCCTATACAGTAAAGGACTCCTAGCAATACTAATAGAAAAGTTTCATAATTTCACTTCTCCCCCAACACCAGATATTTCAAAAAGCTAAATAATATATATGAATTATTGAAGTTGAAAGACAAATAAACTTCTGCTCTTAACTTATGATTTGATGGGACTAAAAATGACGGAGACAGTCCCTTTTCAGTTAAACAAAAATAGTTAATTATTTGTAAGTGATGGATTTCACCGATGGCTAGAGTTTTTTTCTTTGACTTACTGTGTATTGGGTTTAATTTTTTCTCTCTCCTCTTTAGTATAAATTAGTGTAAAAGATAACTTTTATTAAAAAAAAAGATAATTATTTAAGCATGTAACCTTTGCGTTTATTGGTAATTACATGCATGGATGTTTAAGTTTAGAAAACCATCAATTCTCTAACTTAAATGAACAAATACATCCAGCACAAACTATAATCTCTTTCGATAATGAAGATTGGATTGGAATTAATATCTCATAAAATTTAGTATGCTGATTTTTCATTTTGTGAGGATTAGATATGTAAAAAATTTATCTTACTCCTAGCTACCATTTTGAAATGATCGAAATGGATAAGTTTCTTAAATGAGTGATCCATCTTTACCTACAAGTAGGACATTTTTTTTCATCTTCTTTCAACATAACTTGAATATCATCATACCATCCAATCCAGTCCTAGATAACAAACGAGCCGTATATAGATTAACAAGCTAGTTCAAATATGATGAAGTATGAAATGAACAGAAATGAAAAACATGAAGATGCATATATAAAATTAAGAGATCATATCTATATGAATTAAGAAGGAGCTCTTCTCTTTTCACTGAATTGTTTGGCAAAATACGGATTACCTTCTACAATATTTATATGTTCATCAAGAATAATTTCATATCAAATTAGCTACTATGACTTTTGTAACGAAAATAATTTGACGCTGAAGAAGAATTCTATGCTTAATTATTTCACATAAACTAGAAATTCAGAAGGAAAATGAAAACAATATAGGAATATATGTTAAATAAAATACTAAAATTCTTAGCAAACTACATACTTTTTTGAATTCAGCTTTGATCTTTCAGTACGTAGTAAGAACACACGACACCAAAATACATCCTATATATTCACAGAAACTTATATAAGAATTTTCAATTTCTTTGCTCGACTTTTAATTCTGTGTGTAAGAAATTCAAGAGTGTGTGAGCAATTGAGGAAAATGAATCGCAATATAAAAAGGGATTTGTAAAAGAGGCTGGATTTTTGCAACCAAAACCAAGGTGATCAAATGAAAACAAGCTGAGAATTCAGATTCAATTTTAATCAAAAAGTTAAGTTGTCAAGTAACAGGTCAAGACAGAATTAGACTAAGAGCTTTGATTCTATGTCAAATAACTACTGGCTCTAAAAACTCTAAAAACTTAAGACGTTTTGCAATGAGTTAACAATACACACACACATATATACATACATTTGACTTTTTAGCCAAAATGATCGTCCTTAAGACTGGCATAACTCTCACTTTAGTCCTCAATGTTAAAAATCGAGAGAAATGATCCATGAGTTTGTCAACCGTCAATCATTTTGATTCTTCTGTAAAAAAAATCTCCGTTAAATGGAAAAACAAGTGCAGGGGTCGATTGGATAAAAATACCCTCAATTTAACGGAGATTTTTCACGAAAGAACTAAAATGATTGATGATGGACAAACTTAGGAACCACTTTCATCGATTTTCAATCTCAATGATAAAAGTAAAGAGTTATACCAATCTCAAAAAATATTTTAGCTGAAAAGCCTATATATTTTAAGCTTATAAGATCAACAACATGAATAAAACCGATGTAACGAATGATTGTAAATTACAAAATAATTTCCAGGTGCATCCATAAAGTAGTTGATCTCAAAATTAATAATATCTATATATATGATGACACCATAAAGTTCATGCTTTTAAGTTTTAATCAGTTTTCCCTTATTTTACTAATGATGGAGTCTCTTCATGGAATCCAAAACACACCATAGATAACCGAAATCATTAGCAGAATGAATGGATCCTCTAAGAGGTAAAGTGGCTTTACATGCCCCACTACTTCACTGAAAGGAAAAAAGACGGTTTTTTTCCAGCACCTATATTACGTATCATTTGTTAACTAATTCTAGAGCTTATTTTTTCTTCTAAATAATGATCAACAACCCAAAATGCAGACATTTGTTTAGTTAAGTTGACTACTGTAGGGTATTTCTTTCTCTTCTACACTCAACTCCGAATCATCTTTTACATAGTTTTCAACTTTTCATTCACGTCTGATAAATGTTTCTACCGTTTGATAGAAAATAAATTCTTAATTAATCTAAATACTTATTAATAATAGAATCCTAGAGGAATATTGACACAACATCATCCAATCACTGACAAGGTGTCGGCCTGATTGAAAAATTAAACAAGATTTCCCTCAATTTCTTATAGCTAATTTGCACTTTTAACTATAAAATACTATAGCAGACATGTTTCCTTAACTAACTATAGCATCAAAATATGGAAAAGTATTGGATGCGAAGATTTGCCATATCAAAAATAAATTAAATGCTTTTTAAGTTAATTAACTGTGTTTCACCAAATTATAAATCTCACTAGATTCCACAATATTCACATCTTTTTTTGTTGCAGACTCTTTTGCAGTATTCCACTATATTTCCTGTTTGGTTCAGCAACATCTGACTATCTGAGACTGATTTGACATATAAGGAAAGTCAGCATATGAAATTTTACAAGCAATAATATATATTATTTTATATTCCTCACTAAAGAGAACCGTTACTTAATTAATACTACGATTTAGTTGTATTCTTTTTTATTAATAAGTGATAGATTTTAAGTTTGATTCTCGCTAAAAACGAATTTGAATCATATTATTGCTAACTCATTATGAGACTTAACCCACTCTCCCATTCCTATCGTTTGTTCAAAAAAAAAAAAAAAAAAAAAAAGTGCTTGAAACCGATAGTGAAGGCAGTGCCCTAAATGACACGCATGACACCAAAGTAAATAGCGCTCACATTTATCTTACAAGTAAATAGCTAGAGTGCTCTAAGTTGAAGAGTGGTTAATTTAGGCATAGTTCAAATTTGAAAGGGGATTGTTATTGGCAGAAGTTCTGGAGAAAATTTCACTCGGAGGAATGATTACGTACCTTGTTTAATTGCGAATTTTCTTGAAAAACATCACTATATGCTTAATAGAAACTCAAACTATATATAATTGTAAATTAACATATGTTGTGAGCTAGTGATATCGAAACAGTTTTGTTTTCTCTTAAATTTTTCCACAAGAAGAAGGCGCGCGCGCGCGCATATATATATATATATATATATATATATATATATATATCAATATTCCTGAACAGTAAAGTAGGAAACGGTGGGAGCATAGAGAAGGGGAAGCAAGGGAAGTCAGAGATAAAGAGAGACTTGTCTGACCATATGCACCAATGTACAAGACACAAGCATTAAAGGAAGTATATATGTATATATCTGACATTTTTATATGATGCTCGTGTGAAGTCCTTTCAATAAGCTATGAATCTTAACCCAAAAAGAGAGAGAGATCTTTGCAAGAAACGAATTAAACTGGCTGCAAAAAAATAAAAATAAAAATAAAAAATAAAAAAACGAATTAAACTGAGTTAACTTGGAGTTTCCAGCCACATCTTTCGAGAAATTTCTACTCGTAGCTAGGCATTACCTCAGAGAAAGAGCAAGTGAAAAAGAAAAAAAAAAATACATGGAAAAAAAAGGAAAAAAGCACAGCAGTTGTTTTTGCATAAAAACTGACTCAATCAGAACAATTTCCCATAGACGATAGATCTAATTAGTCAAATCAAAGCGATAAATAGATAAGAAGGCCAGAATTAATTCATGAAAACACAGGTCTTTTTAGTCAGCATAGCAGTGGCTACCGACAACCACTGATAAATTAACTAAAACCCTAATTTGACAACATCCAAAATTAAATACCGCATAAATTTTAAAAGCATCAAGAAAATAAATAAGATAATACCGGCCCTCATAACTTCCGTTGTTGATGATGATAACAGCTAGCTTTGCCTTATTGTTGACTGGGATGATGGAGATGATGACCTGGCGGCGGCAGAGGCGGTGGAGGCAACTGTTGAGGCAGCGGCGGTCTCTTCCGCTTCTTCTTCTCATAGCTGATGCCTCTTGCTTTGGACTGCAAATCACGAACCTCACGAAGGTAGAGCCTCACGGCTCGAGCACCGAAGGGGTTGGCTTCAGGCTTGCCTCCGTTTTCTTCGAAGGCGGCACGGAGGCGGCCGATGAGGGCGTCGAGGCTGCCCCATGCCTGGCGAAGCGGGCAGGGGCAGGGAGCTGGTGGGTTTGGATGGCCGTAAAAGGGGCAGATTGGGGTGTGGACTTTGGTCTTGCCGAACTGGTCAAGGTACCGGAGGAATTCGAGAACGTGGGCCCCGCTGCACCGAGAAAGAGAGAGCGGAGGGCGATGGTTCTTGAGGTATTGTCCGAAGGTGTTCCAGTCACGCCGCTTTTGGTTCTCATAGCGGCTGCTGGAACCAGGAGATGATGAGGAAGGAGAAGATGAGCTTCCAGAAGCCGCTGCGAGAGAAGTAGTAGGAGTACTAGCAGCAGTGCTGTTCATCAGTGTGGATGTGTTGATAATTAGGTTATGGCTTGATGCTATGGTGATCTCATGATGGTGAGAGCTAGAACTTCCATCCATATCTTGGATTGATCATGGAATTACGGTTTCTTCTGCTTTTGTTTTAAGTAGTCTTGATTTCTAGGGTTTCTTCTAGAGGGAGAGGGAGAGGGAGAGGGAGAGTTTAAGTTTTATATTGTTTTCTAACTATGAAACCTTAGTGAGAAACCACACACCGATGAAGAAGGGGAAATAAAAGAAGACAAAAGGTCTGGTAATTGATTGATATTACAGAATTCCCATTTTCTGAAAAGAGATGGAGGGAGGGAGGAAGAGAGAGAGAGAGGGGGGAGGGAGCTGGAGTTGGTGAACCAAAAGAAGATTTTTGATGTGAAGAGGGAAGTGATGAGATTGATAGGAGAGTACAAGCAAGCAACTGAGATGACTACTGTTACTCTTGACTCTATCTCTCCCCTCTTGTGGTGTTTATGTTTTGGTTTGATAGAGCAATATTATTACTATAGAGAAAAGATTGGAAGGTGATGGATGGATAATTGGTGCAGCTTTCAGCTTTGGTTTTCATAAAATGTTAAGGGACTGGCTTTTTCCTAAAAAGGGTGGAGCAAACTCAACTCTTAATACTGGATGATTACAATTATTCTTCTCTCATTCTTCTTATGTGAGAGAGAGGGGCGTTGTGTTTCTAGGGTTTTTATTTTTATTTTTTATTTTTGTGAAAATGGAAAGGGATTGGACGGTAGATTGAACTGGAGACAGGAAAAAGTTTGTAGGGGGTAAAATTAAAGGAATAACATGATTTTGGTTCTTGACCCCTCTTCTATGTTGAATTGAATGACAGTTCATATGATGAAATGACCATAATGACCCTTGTCAAATTAATTTTAATCCTATTTTTTATTTTCCTTCTCCTAAATTCAAAACTATAATTTCTGACACATGAATTTGGCCCCATCTCGCCCTTTAAACACTTGGAACGGTGGCTTATGTATGGAATCCGGCCCCGTGGGTTATGATTTTTCCCACAACCCTCACTGAGAAATTTAAAAAATGTATATGAAATGTGATCTCTGCATTCCACTCTTTACCCTGAAAACGTAAATGCGAAAATAACCTATAGCCTTGCGTATTCTTCCCTTCTTCCTATTAACTCTCTCGTTCCTCATCTCTTTATCTCATCTTCCTCTAGCCCTTCCCTTCTTGAGGCTTGAATCAAATGTAAAATGTGCATTTGAAGGTATTAAATTGCTCTTACTTCTTTAAGATGCCTATTGTATCCAGTATACAACACTTCCTTCATCAAGAAGTTGTTCGGAATGAAAGTTCTTACAATATCTTAATGACACCACATATGCATCTTCGCTATTTTCTTGTACGATTTTCTACATCAATAAATATAGTACGTAAGAAAAAAATAGTTCTTAGCATCAGTTCATTGTAGATCATAATAAGAATATATATGTTTGATTGACCTCTCGTATATTTGTTCAAAACAGAATATATGTGGACGTATTTTCAAGTATATATCTTTCTATATCCAAAACTAGTGCATTACAAACAACCAGTAGGGTTTTCCTATAACTTGGCCTAAAATATGTAAGTGAAGAAAATGTGGGACTACGTATGTATGTAATATACGTAAAACATCTATATATATATATATATATATATATATTAATACTAAATTCAGAAATTTATTGAAATGTCCTATATCTTTCACGTCCATGTGATCATAAACTAGGGTCGAATAATAAATTGAAAATGCCACGGCCTACAGTTCAAAACATGCATTGCAACTGCTATTCTAGTACCATCGAATATTGTTGGATTTTGTTTCTTAATTTTGTTAGCAGTAGAGTAGCAGTTGCAATGCATGTTCTGAACCGTCGGAGAGATGCTTAGCTCCATAAAATTTTGGAGGAGTTTCTAGTTTCTACAGAAAAGCAGTTTGTTCTTATTGATTCACGAAACTTTCTATTTAGTCATCAATCTGTATAAAAACACACAGTCGAAATTGGTAGAAGTATTACAAACCGTCTATCTATTTGTTGCAATCGATTAATTAAACAAACTTAGTTTTAATTGATTTTTTTGTAAAGATAATTTTTACGAACTGTTTTATAACATGAACGATTTTGATCACAAGCGGAAAGTCTCGTGAATCACCCATGATGTTTTTCTGCAGAAATTCCTCCATAATCTTGTGGAGACTAGTATCGCTCTATTTCAGGCTTTCAGCATTGTTTTCTGTTCGCTGGAAGTATAAAAGAAAATAGCATTGCAAAATAATAGCTTGCTTAGTAAAGATGTAGATCAAATTTATAGGTTTGGGAACACATTACCAAAATAATAGCTTGTTTTGTAAGCTGAGGCCGAATGAGGGATGAAGAAGAGTGAATGAAACATAGCATGAGAGATGTGAAATAATGTAACACTATATTTGGATGAGGAAAATAAATTTAGAATTTTGACAAAAGTTAGAATTTGTAAATTGACATGCATCAATTCCCTTGTTTGGATTTATAAATATAAAAATTTAGAATTTTCTTGTAGAAAAAAAAAACTTGGAATTTGGGACCTCTAATTCTCAAGTTTAAATTCATGTAGATAGGTGTCATTTTCAATTTTCTATTAGCAAGAGTTTAAAAATAACAAATTTCATATTCAAATTTCATTGTTCTTTTAGGTTAACTAAACAAGAAATTTCACAAATTTTAGAAAATAAAATTCTATCATTTCAATTTCCTTCATTCTAAAATTCCTTTATAATCTTAACTTTCCTCCAAACAAAGTGTAAGGGGTAACATACAAAATGAAAACTAAAAATTGGAAAAAAAAAAAAAAAAACTATTTAAAGTAATTTTCATTTTTTTAAATTTTGTTTTCATGCATTTGTTTTTCTTTATTTCTCCCCCTTTTCCTATTGCCCTTCTTGTAACATCCTACATCGTCCAGGGGAGTGGATCCTATAAGCTTTATATGTATATTCTCATCTCTACCTAACATGAGGCCTTTTGGGAGCTCAGTAGCTTCGAGTTTTGTAGAAACTCTGAAGTTAAGCGAGTTCGGGCAATAGCATTCCCAGGATGGATGACCCACTGGGAAGTTTATTGTAACATCCCACATCGCCCAGGGGAGTGGATCCTATAAGCTTTATATGTACATTCTGATCTCTACCTAGCACGAGGCCTTTTGGGAGCTCACTAGCTTCGGGTTTCGTAGGAACTTTGAAGTTAAGCGAGTTCAGGCGAGAGCATTCCCAGGATGGGTGACCCACTGGGAAGTTCTCGTGTGAGTTCCTAGAAACAAAACCGTGAGGGCAGTGGTTGAGGCCCAAAGCAGACAATATCGTGCTATGGTGGAGTCGAGCCCAGGTTATCGTGGGGGCCTGGTCGGGATGTGACAATTTGGTATCAGAGCCTAACCCTGGCTGCGTGTGTGCCAACGAGGACGTCGGGCCCCTAAGGGGGTGGATTGTAACATCCTACATCACCCAAGGGAGTGGATCCTGTAAGCTTTATATGTATATTTACATCTCTAGCTAGCACGAGGCCTTTTGGGAGCTCATTGGCTTCGAGTTATGTAGGAACTTCAAAGTTAAGCGAGTTCAGGCGAGAGCATTCCCAGGATGGGTAACCCACTGGGAAGTTCTTGTGTGAGTTCCCAGAAACAAAACCGTGAGGGCGTGGCTGAGCCCAAAGTGGACAATATCGTGCTACGGTAGAGTCGAGCCTGGGTTGTGGTGGGGACCCGGATCAAGATGTGACAATTTGTCTAAACTATTTATTTTCGAGAACAATTATCAGTGATAAGCCTAACTAGACACTAGTTTAATTAACTATCATTACTTAAGTTTCCTTACTTTAATTTCTTGATTCTTCACACATTGATTTATGACCAACATTTAACCAAATCATAAGGTTAAATCTCACATTTTCCACCAATGTCCCTCACATTGCTCAATTCCCCAAACAAGGCTATTGTCTCAATTATTTAGTCTCATTTATTATATGGCTATATCTAACGTCTCGTTAGACTGCCTACGTACCCTAAATAAGGATCAAACCATTCGTAGTTCACACTAGTCCTCCAAAGCATTCACAGAAATTATATGAAATATTCAATTTATAAATGTTTGTGGAGATGTCAATCTTATATATATATATATATACACACACACACACACACAATAGAAAGGAAAAGACCCACTCACCTTAGGTCAGCACTACAACTCCCAACTTTACCGTGCACGCCACCACCGCCATCTTGAAGCTCTCATTCCCCTCTACAAAATTTGTCTAGGAGAACCACCTTGATTAACCTCTGTATGTGGCAGTTTAAGGCCACCGAAGTTGACGGTTCTCATGATGCTCCAGCTAACCTTTTTTATTTTTCCAGCAAACGACAAAGCAATGGCCGATGCCACCACTTGAACTTTGTAGCCCATCATCCCAGGAGCAAAACCCAACCAACCTTGACCCCGTTGGACCACCGTAGACAACGAATCGACACTAGGAAGTTTTAGGCACCCGCCGGCTTCGTGTGCAAATTTGACAAAGCCAACGCAGCTCGATTCGGAGTTCTAGTGAACATTCCAGGTCGAGGTGTGTCACTTCTTTACCTCTAATTTCTGTAATTTCCTTTTCTCACGTCTCAAGCACAAAAAATAAAAATAAAATCGTTCTCAAACGATCCTAAGTCATAAGCTAGCATTAATTTGTTACCCTTAGGGTTATGTAGGCATCCTTTTTTGAGATCTAAATCTAATTTCAAGGATACTTTGCATGCATGGTTTTCTATATATGATATATAATACAACAATTCATTTTATATGACTTGGTAATGCTTATATGGAAAAGTTTTTAATGCTTCCGGTTAACATTTTGTGATTCATTTCTTAGTAGCTTAACTTCAGCCCGTAGGGCTTTGAATATATTCTTCCACATAAACACATCAATGACCTGGAATGTTAGGGAAACTAAATTTATAGACTAAATTTTGTAAACTAAATGATATGGAAGTTAATGATTACATTATTACTTAAATATTGATAAACGTTTTCATTTCCTATTAATGACATATTATTTAATTTATAAATTTAATATCTCTAACATTACTCAATATTAAATACTTATTAATTTGTAGAGCTCACTTGCACCCTCTAAAAAGTTACGCTATGCATTGCGTTCTGCTTTTCGATATATAGAAATTCAACTTCATTCACTGTATAACCGTAGGCTTTGTCTCCCCCCTG